AAAGGGCAAAACATGAATATCCGCTATCTTATTCTCTGCATCTTCATTAGTATAAACTGATTAAATGATTCTTACTATATGTCCGGCAACCGCTCATGGGAATCTTAGCCTGTAATTCAAGGAAAAAACTTCTTTTGTGACGTCACAAGCAGACTGCATATCCTAATAGTCAATAGCATCTCGAGCGTTAGTAGTTCCTTTTGACGAGAGCCCATTATCAGCAGCGGACGGACATCGATCTTTCGATTTGATAAGATGGAAAACTGAAGATCTCCGTAAATCAAAGTGCTTCACTTAGACACAGTTTTCTCCGCATGAGTACGCTCTCTCCGTATATGCAATGCGTTTTAATTGCTGACATCCTTTTACTCTCCCTCGTCATAGTTATAGATGCTGCTAATGAAGTTGAGGGCTGAAAAGATCACTGGATTATCGGACAGCCATTTATCACTCATCATCTCTTTCAGATAGCTCTAGCCCAAACTAGGGTTGGGGAACGCGGGCCCGATTGATCACTGAATTGCTTTTTTGCCTTTAGCCATGAAGTCAGGTCCCTTTGGTTGTTATCAAGCACGACTGCAATCCCATGGACATGAAGCTCAACAACCTTTTGTCACTGAAAGGCTGAGTTCCAACGCAGAACAAAACATGTGTTGTAAATTAGCAAAAAGTTTCAAACTTAAGTACACCCTTTGTTCGGGAACGGAATTTGAAAAAAAGTACAAAAAGAATATTTGATTATGTTTTCTTTTAAAGTATTTGAATTTATAAGAACATCGAAGGAAATGGGGGAAAACCTGTACTAAACCAATACTAATCTGAAGGGATCCACTTAACTGTCGGTGGACTGTGCATCGCGTTATATGGGGCTTTACCCTGACATCCACTTGCAAGCCATTTCAGACATTACATCGCCAAGTACAATTAATACCCTTGGCCTAAAATCATTACTTAAACTCCGTTGTGTTTTTTAAAAACTTGTCTTATGCTTATTTTTTAATTAACATACTCCTTTCCGTTGCCATACAAAAGAGTACGATAATAAGTTCGGCAGAAATCCAGTCGGTTTTTGTGCTTTTTGCATTTCGTCAGTTTACTGTCCGGTACCCTGCCTCTCCCACAAAATCCCCATTACCAACATTCCCGTATGACAAGATGCACAGTCTACCGGCAGGCAAGTGGGGTCATTCACCCTACTGTTGCTCGTATTAATTTGCCAGCCATTTCTAATCGAACGTGCTTTCTGTAGATGACCAAAAAGAAGTGCATTTAAATGTCATCATCCTGAATTTGTTCACATATTATAGAATTATTCTACAACTCCACTTAGTAAAACCCTTCCAACCCCAAAACGCATTTCACAATTTCAGGCAGCATGAGATTGGTCATTGGCTCCGGTCAAAATAGGCCGGCCATTGGCAATTCTATCAAATCGTACTTCAGCACTGAAGAATATGAAACCCATTTCATTGTGCTACCGTTAATATTCCAAGTGAAATTATCCAGCATTCATTAAAGCTCCCCTGTAAGGAATGCGCATTGTTTAATTTTGAAAAGCAAACTCAAATATATAATTATGGCGTGTAGCAAATTCAAGAACTATTGGTTGCAAATTCCAATTGTTTATTCTGGAGGGCTGTTGACGGTATTTACAATAAAATGCGTCCATCTGCATTATGACCAGGAGAACTGTGCGGAAGTTCATATGCGTTGGTATCGCACTAATTTGCAATATTCGCAAGATCCACATATCGTTCCCAGCACTCATTACAAAACCACATGCTTAAGTTTGTCTAATCGCAACTTTGCACAGCTTCGTGTTGTTTTGATTGTTAATACTGCTCTTTAGTATTAAAACCTAATATGGTGTGGGGCTAATGTGTGCACATATAGTAGGTGTGCTAACTTAAGAAATTTTCATTGAAATTGCAAAGTGCGTTTTCGGCTTGAAAGGATTATTTACAAAGAGTTGGAATGCTAATCGCCGCCAGCAAAATCTTATAATACTTCAGTTATTTCATGGTGTCGGCTTTTAAAATAAATCCTTCTCAGTCGTTTGCGAAAACTACGCCCTGAAAAAAACGACTGCATAGGTAGTATGAATTTTTCTAATTGTTTTTCAATGTCCTTATTACTTCAAATATATTTTATAGAAAACATGCGTATAAATGCTCATTTGTTTACATATCCGGTGGCAAATTACGTCTTCCTTAAACGACATACCTGAAGAAAGGATATAATTCGGCTTCAAAACGTGAAGTGCCCGTTCATAAAACACCGTGACCCTGCATTTACTTGTGTTGTTTGTAAAGTTTATAATATGGCTCAAATCTACGGCTAAATTCTATGAACTCAAGATGGTTTCCTTTTGATATCGTATAGAATTACATGATTTTCCGTACAAGAGAAATATAGAGCTTGTAGTTTCGAAACCCCGGATGCAAGTGTAACGACGGGTCAAGTTCAAAATTCATCGGGCATTAGAAACGTTTTTAAACCGGATTATATCCTTTCTTTCAGTATAATATTTAACGAAGACGTAATTTTCTACCAAATTATTAAACAGGTGAGTGTTTTCATGCATGTTTTCGATGAAATATATTTGAAGTTATAAAAGCATTGAAAATCAATGAGATAAATTCATACTACCTACGTCGTCATTTTCTACAGGGTGTAGTTTTTGCAGGCGACTGAAAAGAATCTCATTTTAAAACCAGCATCCTGAATAAACTCAGTTATTATGGAATTATGTCGCACGGATCACAACTAGATTTATGCATTTTTTGGGTCGAAAACACATTTCACAATGCCGGTAAGCACTTCATAAGTTAGCCCATCTATGTACTGTACTTTTTGGGGTTTGGACGTTTTTGAAACGTTTTCCCGCAAGGGAGTTCATCAGTGTTATCATATTTTGATGGTGTTTTGCAGGCAATCAGTCACGAAAACACATTTGAGTTTGATAAAGTTTCATCTAGTCCACATTGCTTGGAAGGTATTCAGACAGAATGTACTCAGTTAGTCGGGTAGGGTAGAGGAGTGATATGAAACCGCTGTTTGGACAACCTGCCTCGACCATTCGATCTTCTCCACAAGTCAGTCAGAAAAGTTTGTGACTAATAATGTTGATGCATAATTAAGACATTGACTGGATTACACTTATTTAAGTGGCATCGTTTTCTTCTTTTATTTTAGTTAAAGCAGTCGTATTTCTTTAAAACGGTATGAACAGCAAACGTTGCCAGTATTTTCCAGGAAAACTATCATGTTCTTATAAGTGCAGACGATAACTAAGACAAGTACATCAACAAACCATTACATATTTCGCCATGGGGCCTTCTCTGATTAAAGAAGAACGCGATTACTTCCAATTCATCATGCATAAAGTTACATTTTGTATCATATGCATTGGATATTGCTAATATCTTCTAGATACTTTCCTGATTGAAATTATGCAGATGCCGTCGGCTTCGACGCACAAGTGAATTTTTCGCGCTCAGAAGCGTTTTCGAAATCCACCATTTCATGAGGGTCGGGAAATAAATGTTCATCAATGGCCTGCAACCATACGTGATTGGTGCAGGCCACTATCATGGGATAATTATTTGCCATCTCAACCGCCATGATGCAGATTCGCATAAGTGAAGAAGAGTCGAGCACCGGAACACTTTTTTTATTATCCTAAGTTTTCAGACTCGTGCAGGAGTCCATCGTCAGGGGTAGTAGCAGCAACAGAACAAGCGACAGTTATGCGACATGTAAGCCAATCATCGACCGACGGCGCAAGACTGGAGGTGACTGAGCAGTGCTCTGTATGCCAGCGCTAGATCTATACATCGATTGACCGAGGCCCAGGCTTCAATCAGTTCTCGGCCTGTTTTTTGTCCGGCGTGGGCGAATATTTTTGCGGCTGCGAAGTTAAACTCGTGACCTCAGGTCCGCAGCATAGCGGCTAGAGCGTGGCTTTATTGAAAACCGACGAGGGTTTCAACATAAGGCTTGTAGCCTGCTCTTCAGTATCACTAGATTGGACGGCAAACAAGTCAGAAATAGTCATTCCACTATCCCGGCCTTTGCCGGTAAATCTGTTTGGTGCATTCTTTTACCAAGTATGTTAAAAGTGTTGCCCATGAATCCCGTTCACCTGTTTTCTGAAGCACAAATGGCTACAAGTTAACAGACTTGAAAAGTTAACCCATGCGCGAGTTGCGTTTCTGAAGCGAGTTAGGAGAAAACATGGACACAATTAGATGTCAAAATGCTTTCGCATTGATGTGTTTTGCAGTGTCCCTTTTTATATATTTTTCGATGGCCTGTTAAAAGAGGAATGTGGTTTGTTTTGTTATAAGTTTGATAAAAACTAAGGCGTTATGAGATAAAAGATCCGTCTGTTTAATTCGCATGCAACAGTTTCCGTCTTCTGCGTATCCTACAGCCAATGATTCAACAGAAAGTACGTAATCTCTCGAAAAAGGATGATGATTGGTGGAGACCTTATCGAATCATAGGTTGGACTATGTTCGAGTGAAAAGCCATCAGACTTATACATGAAGAAGAGAAGTCACATCTGAAAAAAGGTAAGAAAAATCAAACTTCCTCTTATCTTAACCTCATTATGAGTCATTTAAAATTATATCCATGTTCCCATTATAAGCGCAATCCTTTGTCTTGAAGTCCACTATATAGTTCCACAAAAAGGGCTTCCACATGCGTCTAAAACCAGTTAAATTCCCGGTTTTCCATGGCCAATATTCTACATTCTTAGAAAAAATCCCACGTGACACCATGCCGGTAAATGCGGGCATTTGGTCGTGGATTGGCTTAAATCCACGAGAATAGTTTGTCTTTAATTTAACAGTTTAAAAGGACCCCTGTCCTCTCAAAGACGCTCTGTGAAACTTTCAGTTTGCATATGGCAGGTACGGTAAATATCGGGCATGTATGTGCTCTCTGGCTTTAAACTGTAAACTTCGAAGGTGATCGAGGTCCCGGTTTACGTAATGATTGAAGTCTGCAACGCTTACATTTACGTTTTTGTCTCTCAGAGTTTGCAAGTGTGGGTTTGGGAGTCTGCTGAATAGAGTCGCACAGTGCTTTGAAAGCACTATGCACACCTTCAGCTCTTAGAATGTGTTCTTTCTCGAGCTCCTTGAAATATGTGACAGTCATTTACTTAAATTGTGACATGAAATAGGGAAGGCGCAAGAAACTATAAGTAGTAGGTGTCCAGCTCAATAAATACTTGCGGGTTTCCGAAGGCTCTTTAATATACGAATACTCGATATAACTGCATCAGCAAACTTTTTACACTAACTGAAGACCCAAATAGGCTTTTGCTGGACGGCCTCTTCATGGTGAAATTTAGAATATTTTTCATAAGCCTGGAAGGCAGGGCTGTGCAGAACAAATGCCTGCATGTTCGTTTTACTGAATTTTAAGCCTATAAATTTCGCAGATTTACCAAACTAGAATTTTAAAGTAGAAATGAGATTTTTATTTTAAAAATAGTAGTGCCTATATTACGCAAACAACAACACCTTTCTACGGGCCAGGAACGATTGTTTTGGTGAGCCATTTTCATTTACATGGTTGCTGCATACTAGAAAACACTAGTAGACCTGCAGATGTGGTACACAGCGTGGAAAATTGCCTAGATTGAAAGATGATCTGATTTTCCCCAATGAATGTTATCAATTAATCAGCAGAACGTATTCTATGTGGGAAAAGGGCCTTTGTGCAACCCGTTAAGCCAATAAGTAAGAAACACGACCTGCTAGTTACAGACAGTCTGAGTGGGCAATTAGTTCGACACTTCATATTGATGTGCGTAAATAATCAGTGTCCGTATATTAAGCTCCCGTTCTTTGGTCGTTCTGGTTCTAGAACATAGATTAGTTTTATCAAACAACCCTCAACGCATCTGTAATTTGGATTAAGATAAAGAACTAGTTAAGGTTTCCGAAAAGCGCCAGAGGTCGACCGATGTGGCCGCTGCACAACAGCGGGTTGGCTCAGACGACCAATGAGCGCGCCTTTTGGAATGTAGAATAAATTACCGGCAGTAATGACTTCGTCGTGCCCTAGACTCCCTTGCAATTCTGAGGCTAACAGTTTTAGCCAAGAAACGATAAACTGTTGTCCACAAATTGCGCGCAGTAACGTATTACTGCGTACTACTAAGTAATCAAAAAGTGTACGCCGGAGCATTTGGAGTTCAAGACAACGCTCATACTTCTGTTTCTGCCATCTTATATTGACTGAACTTAATAAATAAAGTTAGTAAAGTCTCGAAGTCGAGTCCGGGTGCCTCGGTTTCCAAGAATAAATTTCGCTGACAATTTCGCCTAATCCAAGTCTTTTCGTAATACCTTCACGGCAACCGCCCAGATTCTTTAAAAGTTCTCTGTGGTGCGGCATCGCACGACCTTCAAGATTTGTTTCTTTCCCAAATATTCAGGTTAAGTGCACCCAAAAACATCAAAATACATAGATTAAACCAAAAAATCAATACTTATAAGTCTTTTACGCAATATTTATAAAGGCTTGCGTTGTTACCAATTGAAATGGAAATTTTGCTCGGTGTAAAACTATGTTAGGTGATTTGGTATTGGCCGGACGTTCTGCTTTTATGTGAGACTTACGTTTAACTAATTAATGAGTGTACTGACAAAAATACAGAAATGACACCTACCTACAATCAACTTCTGTGTGAAGCCTGGAAGAAGCAAAATTATCACTTAAGAATCCAGTTCAAATTGAAAGCAGATCTCTTTCGACATACAAATGTCAAGTATAATTTGCCAGGTTTTTTGGGGTATAGTGACCTGCCTAAAAATGTAATTGTTGTTTCACAAACTTCAAACGAGACAAATGCAAGGAGGCAATTGTCAAACTCGCTATCGCTGAATCCTTACTAGGCTTTATGGAATGGAAACTATATGCGACAAAAAGCGTTTCTTTCTGATTTCGACCCGTACCTTGGCTATTTGTTTTGAAAATATCAAGAAAAGCACGAATAGATTTTGATTGGATCCATATCTTTCGTTCTGTCATAAGGAGCAAAACAGATCCATGATTTCTTCGTTTAATTGCATATCTTTTAAGCAGTGGTTTATTCAAGACTTTTATCTGGATAAAAATATGATAACACAGCTCTGTTTGACTGGCCGGTCAATCTCAGAAATTTGAGTAGCTATAAATGAACCGATCCTCTTTGTCTTTCTTGGAGCTTCTGTTTGTTCAGGTTTACTTTAGCACCTCCTATCGGTCGGCTCGCATTCTCACTGACTGTAATAAATCAGCGAGGAGGGACGACAGAGAATGCGGGTAGAATTATACAGTACTCTTTCGGGCTTATTGTGCCTTCATTCAGCCAATCATAACCCTGACCAACAGCTGGGACCAGAAACACAGACATGCGCACAGACGCACCTGGCGCAGTTGATCCACCACTGGGGTCTACCAGATGGGTCATAAGCACTTCATCGAACCGAAGTTCATCAGTGCCTCGCCACCTGTCATTCTCTGTCGCTGCAGATCGGGTATTTATCAATCAGGAATGGGCGCACACCGATCTAGTGGCTTCACAAAGCAAACAAGCCCCGTATGGGTGGCAAAAGTCACGAACAGGCAACCAATTACCAGGCCGAAGTCGGCCAAGTCATAATAGCAGCGAGGAGGAACGACAGAGAATGCGGGTAGATTGAAACAGTACTGTTTCGGGCTTATTGTGCCTTCATTCAGCCAATCATGACCCTGACCAACAGCTGGGACCAGAAACACAGACATGCGCACAGACGCACCTGGCGCAGTTGATGCACCACTAGGGTCTACCAGATGGTTGCCTGTTCGTGACCTTTGCCACCCATACGGAGCTTGTTTGCTTTGTGAAGCCAATAGATCGGTGTGCGCCCATTCCTGATTGTAATAAATCAGCATATTCTTCCTTACAGTTTTTATTCTGACTGTCAAATACTATTTGCGTCTCCCATCCCTATCTATGCATTTTTCCGTCTTCCTTTTACCTCGGGACCAGCCCGGAGATCATAAATTAACATGCAGATGCAGAGATTATTAGCAACAGAATCTGTTGCTATTAATGTAGACGTCCTGTGTTTGATTTCATTTTATCTTCAAGAAGAAATTGTAATTTTCTATTTTGTCGATCTCTAGTATGAGATCAATTAAAAAGAAAAGGCTATGCATCAATTCAACTCTTTCCGGCCCTTGCGCGATCACGAATTATGTACATATGCTATGTGTGCCGATGGTAGGCGCTTGGCAGCATTAAGGACGAATCATTTGCAGTGCTCATGAGTAAGTCTGCAACGCATGACAAGCAGAGAAACCCACTGGTTGAAAATCGGTTAATCTACATGTGGTCCCCGAAGACAAACTGCTGAAGTCTATGAAAATTTGACATGCTTTTTCACACGCTCCAGAGGCGCTTTTCCGTATGTCTTCGATAAGCAAGAAAGTTAATAAATAGCCATTCCATGGTATAACCTACTAGCATCCTTCTCTTATTAGACGTTAAAAATCCCAATTTTTGTAAGGATCCATGCACCTATGTAACGATAGTTTTTGTTCTAAGCATATTTTCCAGGGTTCTAATCTTAATGGCGTGTCGATCAGTCAGCATAGTTCATAACTGGTAATTTTGACTCGCTAAATGTCAGTTTACAACTACTCTAATGGCAGAAACTTTGCCCAAATTTTATTCCGACATGCTCGTCAGTAAGGCGCTTTTGGTATCCCACAACCACTTTTTCTGCTAACATCTGCTTAAAGCAAATTTATTGTTAAACAAAAGTCCTTTTTTGCCGTGTCAAAGCATTTTTAACGCCAAAGCATACTCTGTCATCTGAGCGACTGAAGTAAAAAAAAGCCCAATCAGAGACACCCGGGGCATGGATCAGGCTTTAACAAGCTATGCTAATTAAAGGGAAGAAGCTCGGATCCACTGCATGAAGCTAATCAGCACGAGCAGTAGCAACAATGTAAGAACTTTACACTAGCGGATATGGTGATGAAAAGCAGCATTTGTCAGTCCGGGGTAAGAACCAAGATTTTTCCCTAGTTAACTTTTTGGTAGTCGGCTGATAACAATCAAGGTAACCCAGGTAATTAAAGATAGCCATGTCTCCTCCTTGTTGATCAATGGAGGTACTGATAAAGGCAAAATAGGCAGTGGTGTCTCCAATATGAGCCTCAGATAAACCGCCATTTGTGGTCATAGGTGCCTAAAACGTCTCATACAAATGAGCTTTTTTGTTATCATTTTGTGATATGCCTGACTCACACCTCCTCCCTTCTTTTTCAGCACCGACTGGGGATATGCGAAATGTCCGTCAATCGTGATACGGGTTTGCCCACATCCAACGTCTCTCAAGGCCAAAACCCCCATATGGAGGAATGTATGAATTATCGTTATTGGCCCCTCTATGTGGTGTCCATACTGGCGACATTCTTTGGAGGTCTTGTCTTAATACTCCTTTATAGAGCCGGTGTTAGACTTGTGACTTATTTTTCTCGCTGCAAGGTCGACGTAGCCACAAGGCGCAACCATTCTCCCCGAATTCCGAACTTTTCATCTAGTACGCCGTCTCCATTGGGCGGATCCGCCGTGTCCGCCCTAGATTATGAAACCTCTAACCATAAACGTTTAGCTATGCACTGCAAACAGCGCCTGGCCAACGTTATGCGCCAAATTCGGCTTTTCGCCATTCGGTTAGTGAGTTACCAGTACCCCGTTGGACGTTTCTTTATCATCATGTCAATGCTCCTTAGTCTGGCCTCCTTCGGAATCTTCGTAGCAGAGGCAACGATGTGGCCAAGTGAGATTGAGAAGTGTGGACATAAGGGACGTCGATTACGTTGGTTGGACTTTGCCTTCAACCTCTTTTTCCTTCTACACTTTTTGGCGCGCTTCGCTGCAGCTGAGGATAAGTTGGTCCTTTGGTTAGACTGGTTCTCCATTTTGGACTATTGCACCGTGCCACCGACCCTTGTAGCTTTTGCCTTCCAAAGATCTTGGATGGGTTTGCGTTTTGTTCGCATTTTTCGGCTCTTCAACCTCGCAGAGGTGCTGCACAATCTTAATGTGATAAAGTCGGCCTCTGCATTGCGTCTGTGTCAGATTTCCTCCTTCTTCCTCGCCGTCTGGTTGGCAGGGGCAGGAATGGTTTATCTGCTTGAAAACACTGGAGATCCGTTCGGCGAATACCCCTATGGAAATGCAGTGAAACTGAGTTACACGGACTGCCTCTACTTCACGCTTGTCACCATGTCAACTGTGGGCTATGGAGACATCAGTGCGTCAACCCTGCTAGGACGCGTCTTCGTTAGCATATTTATCCTATTTGCCCTTGCTGCTTTTGCCAGCTGTATACCCGAGATCGCGGACGTGTTATTTTCCTCCAGTAAGTACTCAGGCCACTATACCAAGTCGGAGAATCGCCGTCATGTCGTCGTGTGCGGTGATGTCACTACAGAGTCAGTCAAACATTTTCTGGATGACTTCCTACACCCCGACAGGCGGCGCAATGACGTTGACGTGGTCTTTATTAACCGTGCAAAACCTGATCTACAATTACAAAGCATTCTCCATCGAAATTTTACTCGCGTTAGATATTTCCAAGTGAGTTAAATGCATTTTTTATCGAATGTTGGCTCTTAAACTGGAAGGCGTTTCGACGAAATTTTTAAATTTCTTTTCAACGGAGTTGCTGAAGAATCCGATCTGCTTACTAGCAAACCGACGTCAACGTTACCCTCATCGTACCTTACCAACAAAATCTCAAATATGTCGCAAATTTAATTTACAAAGCAGAGTCGAAATTAAACTCACTATACTGTCGTATGTGCTGGGTGATTTTTTCCCGGAAAATAATTAACCAGTCCATGCGTAAGTTATAAGTACTTTTTAAAACTAGGGCGCTTGCGGGTGTCTTTGATTTTACACGTTTTCCTAGCACTTATAGCCAAATGGACTCTTAGAAAGTTATTTCCGATCCCATTAAACCTGCTAAGCTTAAAGACTAAGCCTGGACTGAAGATCCTGAAAATAAGTACTTAGAACCCAGGGCTTGGTTTTCCGGCTGAAGTCTTGCGTATGCTAAGTTGGAAGCAGTATGATTTGAACCAGGGGTTCTGCAATAAGAGAGCTAGAGAAATTTTGCTTGCTCTGTAACAACTTGGAAAGAGTCCAAAAATCTGATTCTGACGTCTTCTTTGGCTTTTATTTCCAACAATACTTTTAAGGTCAGCTGACCAGCTGTAACATCGTGACGGTCTTGTCTAACGATGCACGACCGTTAGCTGAAGTTTAAATTGCAGACATACCCTGCGCGAACTTAGGGTACTGGTAACTGAAGTTATAACTTTCTCCCTTAACTATGCTCAGGGTCTCAAACCACCTGGCATGTTACAATTGTCTTTAGGGTCATTTTGTAACAGCCTTGAGTGCCCCACCCATACATAAAATGCGGCTACAGCGGCTATGGGAGTTTCGTCATTTATCTTAGATAAACATGTTAAATCATCCGTGAAGGTATTTCTATAGAGTTAGAAAGAACGTGTAAGTTTGGAGTGGACCTTTAACGTTATTTAACCCTGCAAACAGGGTATTTTCTGGGATACAAATTGGTGTAATTTTTATCACACCGAAGAGAAGGAATGGTTAATCAGAAAATTTCAATTGGCTGTTGACGTTTTATAGAACAACAATGTCTATCTAAAATCAAGAACTTGTGTTTCCCAAGTAGCGCCATCATTTTAATACTCAGAGTCCCGTTCTCCAGGGAATCTGAGACTTGACAAGCCAACGCAGCACTACGACGTTCTGTTTGCTGCCGGTCGACGGCGCTTGTGTTTTTTGTCCCGATGTCTGCCCGTGCCCATTATACCTATTTTAGTCCTGGCTTTTTGAAAAACGGACTAACGCAGTCAACCGTGGGCGACTCCACTCCCTTTCTCACTGCACTTGCTTTTGTTTGATAACCAGACGTTTGTGATACTTTGTCAGGTGACAAATAGGAGCCCCCTATTCCGCAGGCTGCTCAGCGTGACGGCTGGCTGACAGGCACACATGTCGTGGTCGCCTGGAGGCATGAGCGTCTCACAAGCCCACCACTCCATGATTTGGACATGTGGTTTTCCGCTGCGAGCTAGGACCTGCCTTCCAGCTGATGTTTTTACAACTGTTAACTGGCTTTTTTCCCGATCGCAATCTTGCAGTCGTACTGAAGTCTCATCGAGGGCTGAGTTCTCCAGGTTTGGGATCCAGTCTTTTGAGTGCTTCAAATCTCGAATGGGTGTTAAGCCAGGTCTGTGTGCCACCACTATTTTAGGAAGAACAAGGAATGCAGTCAAGGTTTTGGAGGATTCTTTGATAAGCAGATTCTAGGACATTATCATGGCTCTTTGGCCGCTCAATCCGGTCTCTTCAACGTAGCCTGCTCGTCCCAAGAGAAACTTCTTGATAAATGCTATTCCAGAAAATTTACCTCGGATGTTTGCTGTTTTCCTTTATAACGAATACTATGGTGCAATTGCGGTTCGCTCGCTTGCACAGCGTGTTTAACAACTCCCCTTGGGTTGTAGCTTGCGACCGTTGTGATGACCTCTACGACGGCCCACGCTGTCAATGAGCTGAGCCAGAACGGCAGCCAGATTGCGTCAAAGTAATCGTAAAACTGACTACGCAGATTTCGCGTGAGCCCATTACCCATGTCGTGGCACGCTTGGACGTAGTCTTCACAAATCACTAGTCACTACATACAATCCTGACAGCATATGACCGACAGGCTCGAATAGCGGATTGGTAAATGGGAGAGGGGAGAGTGATTGAGGTCGACACTGCGGAACTTATCCAAACGGTAAATCAGCGCATTTCTCACCATAATAAGTCCGAAGAGAAGGGACGGCTTAAAGAGAACGACGACTGTGGCGTCCTTTAAATCCTGAGGAATTTCTTCTTGACACCTCATTTCCTGGAAGAGCGTTGACAGATGATCCATGAATTGGGGGCAGTTGTACTTGCAAATCTCACCAGAGATAGCGTCCTATCCGGCGCTTTCCCGATGGAGAGCTATTGCACGGCCCTGACGGTTTCGTGGAGGGAGGGCAGGCGTTGGTCTCTACCTGAGGCCCACGGACGGTGGTGGCGTCGGAAATGGTGGAGGGACGGTTGAGGACGTCTCTAAAGTGCTCGGCCACCGCCTTAGAATCTGCGTCTTCTCAGTGAGTATGGTGATCCTGTCGCCGCTGAGAAGAGGAGCGGTGTTTCTGGCTCTGGGACCGTAGACATCCTTGATCGCAGCGAAGTTCTTCCATTCGTTGCTGTCCGCGTACCCCTCCATCTCCTCGGCCTTGCAAACCGTCCAAGCGTACTGCATCTTCTGCAGCCGCTGTTACAAAAGGCGGCGACTACAGTAGAGAGCTGTTGTGTTGTCGTCGGTAGGACGCTTGACGTAGGTTTTGTGCAGACGATTCTTCCGAGCGGGTGGGTTGCTTATAGCGGCGTTACCGTCGTCGAACCAATCCTGACGTTCACGGTTTTCGTGGCCGAGGACAGTCGGGGCGGTTGACTGTATCACGTCCATCAGTTGGCTCAATTGGTTCTCCACGATGGCCTTCTCGTCAACTGTGGCGGCGACTGTGACTGGAGGGTTGGCCAACCGTTGACCTAGCTGATCGCTGAAATTGATATGGAGAGCAGGCAAAGACAACAAAGCAATATTCAAATCACCTGGTTGTCGCTTAGCTTGCTGTCTTCTGAGTGGCTATAGGAGGATCCTCATTTTGGAGATGGTGTGGCGATGGTCGGTCCATCTGTCAGCACCCGGGATCGTCTTCGTCACCGGCACGTCCTGCTGGTCTCGCTCACGGATGAGGGCATAGGCCAGAAGGTGCTCGTGTAACGACCGAGGGCGCATCCACTTGGCCTCCTTTCGCAACAGGAGGCAGAATTAGGTGTTGGTCAGAATAAACCAGTTCTGTGCACAGGTTCGTAGTCATAAAGGACAATTAACTTATTCCCCTTAGATACCGTTGCCAGGAGTGTGTGCAGGCCGCCGTAGAATCTGTTTCTTGCCGAGTCAGGGTTGGTTATGTGGGGAGGGTGCGTAGATGCTGACTATGGTGGCGAATTTGCCTACCTGGTGAGGCAGGCGGAAGCTCGTTGGGCGATCGCTGATGCCCTGTGGCAGACAGATGCTGTCGTCCCACCATGTCGTTTCAGATGGCCAAGACGACGCCCGCTTCCCGTCTCTCTGACCTAGGGCGACCGCTCCATAAGAAGGTGTAGCCAGCACCCACCTCTTCCAGTTGGCCTTGTTCGGAGAAGTGGGTCTCCACCAGTTCCCGAGCGACTAGCGCCGCCAGAGTGAGCAGACTCCTCTTAGCTGCCTGTGGGGTGGGGCGGCGAGGAGATGAAGGAAGAGAGTATTTTGTATTGTATTTTAGTTTTCACCGCACGTTAAGCAGTCTGCGGACCACGGTCTGCGCGCAGATATCGTGAAGCTAGCTTTGTTTAGGACACCGTTTATAGCCCCCCCTCGCAGGAGAAAGCGGTGCTCTCCCTAAATAGGGCTGCGTTGTCGCACCAGACGGGCACTGCTCTCCACTATGGATCACAGGCTTCAGTGAGAGAACGACCAATGACCTGGGCCGCCTACGTGATTGCTGTCGGTCTCTCCATAGGACTTCCGACCGTGGGGCAAGGCAGTTAAGCAGAGTAGAAAGAAGAGGGTGAATGGAGGACAGAGAAATGCGAAGAGAAGGCACAAAGTAGTAGATATGGGCAGGTCATTCAGCCACTGGGGCAGTAGCTTGACAAGTGCTGAAGGCCACGAATGAGTAGGCAAAGATAACGGACTAATATTCAGTTTACCTGGGGGATCGCTTAGCTTGTGACCTCCTCCCAGGTTGCAGACGGAGCCTTATCTTGGGCTGGCGATGCGGTGAGCCGCAGAACTTTCGACTGTGGGGAAGAGAGTAGAGTGGAGAGCAGATAGAGTGGGGACGGAGGAGAAGGACGGAGAATAGGGGTGAAGGTGTAAAAAGGAGCAGCTCTTCCAGCCACTGCTTGCAGAGTTCTTGTGGCTTCATGCGGTGTTGCAGACGGAGCCTTATATCGGAGTTGACGAGGCAATGACCCATTCTCCTAGCGGTGGAAAAGGGAGCCGAGTCGTCGTGTGCGGAGATGCACCTGTTTAATCCGCCGGTCAAAGCAGTTGCCGGGGTGTAGCCGCTAGACAGACCCTAGCTCCGGGGAGTCATATGTGAGAGTTGAGTATCAGTTAACAGATTCTATACGTACCCAACAAGTGCGAACAAGTGGGCACCCACTACGACCATCACGTGGACCCACAAATGGACATCTCTGCACCCCAGTTTGTCACATACCAGTGTTTGCAAAGTGTGAACCATATTGTCCGTTTGTCACTTCAATGTTCTCTTGGATTTCGGAACCAGTTGCCTTAGAGCAGCGTCACAGCTGACTTCACTCGCTTCTTGATCATTCAGGGGTTCTGGAACCTTGATTTGGCAGTTTTTTCCACCAAAGACAATGGCGAGACAACCTTTGCCCCTAAGTAAGGTTTTAGATACATTAAAACCTCTTGTTTCTCATTTATCAGCACTATTGTAAAGCAAAACACTAGAAGGCAGCATAGTAGTTTAATTCGCAATGCACAAACCAGATGAAAGCAACTAGCAAGTCACAACGTGAACGCTGGTGTTTTGGGCAAGGCATGACAGAATGGGACGCACCTAACTGGATTTTTTTGCAGAAAACTGCTACTTCCGGCTTATATGCCGTCGTCGGTCTAGCACAGGCCGTTCTCGGTAATTCCAGAGTGATGATAATATTGGAATGAATACGTTCACTGTTGAAGGTTATTCTTGCCCGATTTGTGTTCTTCATCAAGAATTGTTTTAAAACTGCCCTTTTATCCTGAGAGCAGAGGAATGTTGTTAAAAGGAATCAAATGCCTTTGCTAAGCCAGTATCTGTTTTCGTCTTCGTTTGCTTCCCAGGGAACCGTGATGAACCATATTGACCTCGAGAGGGTTTGCATGAGCCGTGCAGATGCCTGTTTGATTCTGGCAAATAGTACAGCCGTCGATCCAAATCAGGAGGATGCAGCTAACATCATGAGAGTTGTGGCGGTCAAGAATTACGCCAGTCACGTCCGTGTCATCGTTCAGATTCTACAACAGTCGAATAAGGTAAGTCTATTGAAAGGAACTAAGAACTCATTGAAAGAGTCACTCTTCGGTGAAATTGTTTTGATAATGTTGTAAACTTTTTCGTAGCGATGTTAGAAGCTGTTGTCCTCATTGCAACACCTAACATATCGCCTATCTAGCACTTCAATCAGACGATGATGCAGTCATCGAGTGAGTAGTTTCATTTGCCTGATTTTTATAAGTCCTACACGCATTTATAACGGGAGGATTAATAACTTCCATCTCTACTGTTGACCTTTGCCCAGTTGTCTTGTCACATCATTACATGACGTTCCATATTCATATGTGTCTGCGCGGGCAAACATGTGGGCATCTGTGTATGCGTCTACTCATGTGGGGGCGAATCTTTGTCTAAGTACCTGCAAACGTGACCACACTTACGATTATTAGGGGAACAAATAACAACGATTACATGGGCCTTGTTTATGCTCCTAGCCCGTTTCGCTATCTACGCCTACCTTGGCGAGATTTTGGCATCAGATTGCCGTTCGCAACACAACTGCCCATAAGCACTTCCCCACTTTTCTGCCAAGTGGATTGGAAATAAAGGCGTCGGCCTGTGTGAGATGCAGCAGTTGTCGTGCTTTTGCCAGCCAATGTGACATCGCATAGACTATTTCCCTCATTTAGACTTGATGTGTTTAGTGAAAAAAATGAGGAATGTAGCAGTCGATGCTGACTTCACTTGAAGCGTGCAGCAGTGTCCGCATTTACATGCGACTTTCTAGGAAAACATAAAATACTCAGACGTTCGATTGAACTACTTGTCGGTTTTCAAATTGTGCAACGGATTTTGTTTCTCAAACGGACATAAAGACGGAACCTACTTGTTCTGCCACATTATTACAAGACGTACACTTGAGTATGTTAAGCAGACCAAACAGATCGTATTTCCTCATTATCTTCAAATCAGCGTTCATGAGGACATCATGGTTGATTTTGATGGACATTGGCGGACAGCGTTTCGTTAAAATATGAGACGAACCCTAGTAAAAATCGCCATCCGCATAAAACATGGTACACAATTCCACCCGGATAGGGTAACATTCAGTAATGAGCAGTTGTAAGCAACACTGAGGGACCCGAATTAAAACATGCTATTAGCCAAAGCGCGTATTAATGTTTCATCTGCGCGCCTTAAACAAAAACAGGAGACCGTACGATTTAACAGTGTTCCTTATTATTTAAGTTATACCGTGACTTATGAGACTATTCTAACAAATAAACCTTATTTCAATATTGATGTTTTCCGATATTTTTAGCCTTAGCCATATCATTATAACTTGTATGATGGATGTTTTCATAAAAAAGTATTAACTTTCCACGAGCAACATTAATGGTTATTTCTTTAACGTTTCCGACCTATTTTAAAGCCAACATATGCATTGGCATCCGTTTACAGGATTGGAATATTAGTCACAGATAGCATAGAGGAGGACGATGTAGAATCGTTAAGTGAGGCATGCTTATTAATTGTCTAATATTTCCGATAGAGAACCAGGCCGCCCACATTCAAAAGTTACTTGAAGCTCTAGTCATTCAATACTGATTGTCGATTGAGTATTCATGCGCTTAGACCATAAATCGATATTGGTGAGATGAGCATGAAGGGCAGGACGAAATCCCTCTACTATACAATACTGTGCGTACAATAACTGGTTAAAGTTAGACGACATGCTTGTGGTTAACCAATTCGTCAAGCTAGCCAAACCTGATTGACGAGTTTGTTGAGCAAGTATGTGGGTATGGAACGCACACGTTTCCCCCCCCCCCCCCCCCCAAACGGGCAAAGAGGTAGATGAGCTGGACCAGCACGGGGACTAAATCGGATTCTGGCAGGTGTTATCGGATTGCGCACGACAACCAATGCCAACATTTCCGGATGCGATGGCGGACTCGGTTGTCGGCAGTCGTCGCGCACACTGGGATCCCTGCCACTCCCCACTGTTGTTGTTGTTGATCGAAAACCTCATTATTTGCTGAGTGGAACAGGGGGTGTGGAGTAGAACGTCATGGTACGGGCTCAACCGTGCCATCCACCTGCGCCCTCCCCCGCCTCTGGTCTTCTTGACTCTGTCTTGACGCCAGGTCCAGGTGGGGAGTGGGGAGTGAGAGTGCGGTAGATGCTGCGCAAGTTCACTATCATTATAAACTAAATTACGCGCGAGTCACCCTCCCTGTTTCCACCCTACTGAGGAGCACACGACGGACATCCTCGTAATCAGCGATCGAACTGTCGGGTATGAAACCCATGTAAACACTCATATTGACCCTAAGGTCTAGGGCTTGTTGTTTAGCTTTCTTTCTCCCTCGTACGAATCTTGCGATTTGTTGGTCCCGTGAGCTAGCGTTTTTAATTACGAAGTTATGTTTAATCAAAGGGCACCTTTAGTGCACTAGGCCAAATTCTATCAACTTTTTGCCTTTGTTCACATTAGGCGTGAGTATTGTCGCATGACTCTGTTTCGATCAAGTCAGAATTGACTTGTTGTTGTCAAGTGCGTTAGATAACAATCACAAACACCCAAAGCATACTTCGGGAGACAGAGAAGCAGCTTTGATGCAAGACGGAACAGTCGTGCCATAAGAAGTCCTGAACAACTGTCTTTTTGTCAGCGAATTGATCGGACAAGCGGTTAATAGTTCGCTCAGCCCACCAATGTGATCGTCCGATATGAATGCCTAGGACACAGGTTCGTCGCGTCAGCGGACACCACAAATGGTCAGCTGGCGAACAGTCGTACAACACAGTATGCGCACATGCGGACTAACATCACGTTAGTTCTTCATACAGGAGCGGTGCGTAGAAGACGCAAGTGTCCTGCGGGAATGCATAAACATATAATGAAGTTTCGGTAGCTCAAATGCATTCATCCCATGAAGCATAGTTAAAAAGTAGCCAAACTCTTAAAGGTACCTATTTGCGATTATGGAGTTAGAGGTTCTATCCCATGTACCTGGTAATCCAAATCATTACGACATGCAACGTCAAACTGTCATTGATGACCAGCACCATCGGTGAAACGCAACCACATATGTTTCTTAGCAGCAACCCACTTGCCACGAGAATGATGTTCGTAAGACAGACGCATTCCCTATGCCAACACTTCTAACTCCAATTTGTAAAGATCAGGTGAAATGCCGCTAAATGATCAAATATTCCGGGTTCGGTTCCGAGGTGCTGCAAGCCAGGGGCTCCATATGGTTGGCTGATGCCGCCCAACAAACCAGAAATTCCCATGTTTTTGTCGCAGTCTTCCTCTTTTTGACTGCCTACGGGGCTCTATATCAAGCATCTAATCCTAAAAAGGTTAGTATGCCTCTAGAATCTATTGGTGAACGCCCTCTATCTTAACGTGTATCGGTCGCTGGAACGGGCCAAGCCGGAGATGCGCCTGACCAACACGGGGGCAGGATGAGAGCATGACAAAAGTTGGTCGAGGTGCTCAGGGTTCCCGCATCCCGTTACAAACGGCACACATGTAGGTTGTGGTGGCACACCTAGGTGCGAGATGACTTGTGCCCAATCCTCGTACCAAATAGCTGACAGGCTCGGTCAGTAGACTCGTTGATGTGAGAGGGGAGATAGAATGAGGTCGACTCTAGAGAATCCTTACTCTAGGACGTCCCAGCGCATAACCCTCCCTATAAACAAGCTTACGCGATATTAAACGGTTGTAGTGGTCAAAGGATAACAGGCCAAATTACGTCACACACAATAAGTTCGTTCCGTCTGATGGCAGGAGTCAGAGAGCGGTGTGGGCTGATTCATTCCGAACAGAGGGCAGGTTACCATGGCTTGGGAATTTGCTTATGGGTCACTTCGTGAGAGCATGAGTAGCGGAGTGCTGTTATTAACGCTTTTCTGCCGTGCATTCACAAGCATGAGCAAGTGGCTTCCTGTCTCGGTTGTTACATGGGCTGCCTGGGGCACATGTTCACAAGAAAAAATGGCCAGGTATGGCAAACTACGCAGGTCAATGCGTCGCTCAGTGACGTTCTATCGTGGGCGCTGGCACGGCTGCGCTAAAATTCGTGGCTTGGAAGGCTGCCAACTGACGGGGTAATTCAGTCCTCTCCGGACGTAGAGTCAGGTGCAATGGCTCCTTGTCAATGTGACCTCCATGGCACTCCAACTCAGATGGGTTCCAAGCCGTCCCCTTTGTTGTTCCTGTGAAAAGCTGGTTCAACTTGCGTGAACCAAGCGTGTGCTTTAGGCAAAGGTCGGTTATTTAGCGTTGTCAGCCATATCTCCCGATTCTGCCTCTCGTCGTTCTAACTCAGTCTCGCCATCAGGTCCAAAAGGGGGTGGGAGAAGGAGGATTGCTACTTAGGTAGTCCTTGTTTGCTGTGTAGCTTTTGCAGACGGCTGAAAAGAGGCTCATTTAGAAACCGGCATTCTGGCGTGACTGAACTATCTTAAAACAATGCTACACGATACTTAATGTTGTGACATTGCTTGAGTAATCTTTTCGAATCGAAACCCTATTTCGAAATTTCGGTTAACAATTCATGAGATAGAACGTTTACAGAGAGTGTACCTTGCAAAAACAGACCATATAAATTTGATGCGACTTCATTGTATCTTGAAGTTTGCAACCTACCTTTTGGGCAAGCAACAACGATGCGAGTTCCTTCCCAGGCGAATTTGTTTTCGCTGTTAGTGTGTGCATGACCATCCTGGATAGAGGGTCACAGCTTCGCACTGATAGCTAATGTTCATGTATACGGTGAAAGTCAGATTTTACGGTTTCGCTACAATTAGCTGCATCGCAACTGACGCAGTAAATATTAGACGACTTTCTTTCTAATGAAATAGCTAACCTTGCCATTAGAGTAAACAGACTATGTAGGTACTTGTATATTTTGGCACCACCCACGTCTGACCTTTTATTCGACCGTTTTAACCAGCCCGGTTGCGTTTTCCGCGTTAAGACAGAGATTGCAGATATTAGATTTGGTGGCTGGGCCGCCATGACAACAAAATTATCCTTTTCTTTGCGCGTCTTCTTCTTATCCGTCGAGCTCAGAATTGAGGCCATTAGTCATCCGAAGTACTTCATGAGTATCTGAATAAGCCACTCATGAGCGATTTGGAGGCGAGGAGCCGAAATTCTGACCCGAAACCCTCTTTGTAAAGAGCGTCTTCGAGTTGATGACAGGAATCCTAAAATTCTTTGGGCGGGTCATAAACTGACCTCAGTCATCAGACAACAAGTAGGCCAAAGGCCTCGATAAGGTAAACGGGACAATTGACATTACTCCAAGGCATATCAATTCCAGATTGGTTAATTTTCCAATTGTCATGACACAGACTGCACGAGCACCAGCTTCTAAAGAATTCAAGAACAAATTGTCTTTGGCCCACGAACACGTGCAACGGGAAACCATATATTACCTTTAAGAAATTGAGGATTACTGCTTAAAAGTTAGTCCTTACTTAACCTAGTCAGGAATTTGCACTCCGCCTACCAGGCATTGCGTGCAAGGATCCAATCGATTCATTTAGGACTAAAGGAAAAAATTGGGCAAAGTCACGTGTGTACAGCAGCTGACATCCGCATCCGTTTGTTTTCATGTACATATAGAAACGTTCCATACTTTGTTCAGTAATTAAAAATTTTGTACTCGATTTTCAGGCTATCCAGAACTGGCGTTAAATATTGGCTGAACAATGATGATTTCAGACTTAATATAATCACTTCAGCTCGTTTTTTCCGCGTTCCGTTTGCATAAATGATAAGAAACAACAAAAATAACTAATCAACTTACTCGTATTTTCTAAGGATGAGGCAGCTAATCACTTAAATACAATAAAAGATATATAGAGAGTTTTGTTTTCGTTCGACTGTCTCCTCTCCGGCGCTTGCATATATTTTCTTTTGCTCATCCACAGTCGCATCTGTTGAATATTCCAACCTGGAACTGGAACGCCGGAGATGAAATCGTTTGTCTGAGCGAAATCAAATTAGGTTTTCTGGCACAGAGCTGCCTAGCTCCCGGCTTCTCGACTCTTCTCACGAACCTCTTCTCTATGCAGTCTCTACACGGACCAAATTCTCTGGCTAAGGCTGTTAACACCGTGCATAATCAGCTAAAAAATGTCCCCTCTTCATCTTACTCAACGCACCATTCCGAACCTCGAAGTCGTCGGCTGGGCAGTATCAACATCGTCTTTAAGCGTGTGCGTAGTCTCTACCGGTCTTCGATACACCGAAAGGAAACAGAGACCGGAAGTTTTTCTGCGCATACGGAACGTTCGGTCTCCGTTCCAACAGTTGCCATCAAGGACTTTTCAGGTCAGGGCTCCAGGTCGGCCAACCCGTCAGTGATGCTTCCTCCACTTTTAAATGGAGGTCATCACTGGCTCACAGAGTACCTTCGTGGCGTCAGTATGGAGCTCTACTCAGCCAGCTTCTCAGCCGCATTTGAGGGCATGACCTTCGCGCAGGCTGCAGTGCTCTGCATGAACAAATTGGAGCTAATGCTCATTGCATTAGTGATTTCAAGTCCATCCCCTGATGAAAGTGGGGAAGAATCTGTCGACTACCTGCTAATTAATCCATCCGTCTCCTCGATTGCCATCACAGAGGGCATGTTGGGCTTCTTCATCTGCGACTCCCAGGAAATTGCCTCTAGAGCCAGTTTTTTCTGTTCCTCTTGCCACGATGCTATGCCCTCTCCAAGCCAAATTAAGGAATGTGAATGCAGACGCCGACATCGGGGTCTGAAGGTAGTTAGAATAAAGCGAAGACGTCAGAAGACACCAGTGACTGTGTTGGAGAGTGCTGAGATACCATGTCAGACGTTTGCCTACCGATTGGTGGAGAGCGAAAATTCTCCCCCCTCTCAGTGGTCAGACTCGGCAGATCAGGCAGATGATGTGGACAAACCGCGGGACGGCAGTGGAACCGCCAAAACTGAACGGGAGATTTCCGTGTTTGACGTCACTGGTGAGAAATTTTGCATTGTTGTGCCTTACCAATTTTTCCTAAAAAATAGCTGGCGGCCAATCCAGCGAGGGCATGCATAAGACTGTCGGAACCTACCAAGATAACACTTTTCTTCTGACCTTTCTAATTCGATTTGGCGGTATCGTGTATACCGCGATGTCTATGGATTTAAAAGTCTTTGGCTCATAGGTAGGCAGAGATGCTGACTACGCAACTGCCATTCACCGCACTCGACAATAAACATTTTCCAGCATGCAGACCCCAAAGTAGGCAGCTTTGCAAATTTGGATCAAAATATGGCAAACTGGTATGTGACATGCGTCGGATGGAGACCTTATGACATGAACCAGCGGGTCTCATTCCAGCCTACTTGGCTTAACAAGGACGTGCTACTGGGACTTGAAAAAGGGAAAACCCGAGATTACTTCTGCGTTTTCTTTTTTGACGCCCCTCTAGCAGCTGCTACTGTATTTCAAGAAGCTGATGCACTCGAGGTCGGGGATAGGAAGGCTTCCTGTTGACGTTATGACTGTCATTGGAGGTCAAACTGCGGTGGTCTTTCTTTTATGCAACTTTTATTGTAAGTTCCTTCGTTTAGAGGTCACAGATACTGAAGTTTGGGTGGTAGAACATGAGAATAAGGCTACGCCCAGCACTAGAAGTGGCTTTGCGCTAAATCCCGGTGGGTACCAGTTCCTGTGTTCTAACTTTAGCCCTAACACCGGCCCTCATGATCCTAACCATAATTCCTTGAAATTTAACGCTACGCCACGTGTAATACGGGGGTCCATATTTCTGTGCTCTGCAGTTTGGCGCATGTGCACGTAAGGACTAGAGTGTGAGCACCAGGCGTAGACGTGTGCCTAGTTTCACCAGTCAATGCACCGCGCCTACCCTGTTAGCCATGGCCTTTCTTATCAGATGAATAGTACGGGTGTGAGAAGAGGATGCTTCGGAGATCTAACTCACAACAAAGACGTTCACGCGAGAGTTACAGCAGTAAATGCTTCACAGCGTTGTGAAGTATGGCTCCTGGACACCTTCATTCACTTAGTGATGTAAAAAACCGCAAAGTTCAGAGGATGTAAATGTTAATTATTGTATTTCGAGCCTCGTCAAAAAATAAAAGAACTTTTAATGCGAACTCATACAGCCAACTCGTCCACCAACCTTCGAATTCGAGCAGCATACTATGTGCTGTGTCTGTCTCGTTAGTGAATTAAAAAGATCCGCTCTTACCTGACTTGCAGGATGAGTCTGTTCTGAACGTTACGATGTCTCCTGGATGGAGGACCGTAAATGAAGTCAGGCTAATCTTTAAATTTAGGACAACTGTTGACAACACTTCCTTCTGCCCAAAAAGGATATTCTCTTATTTGCATCTTAGTTGCGTACAGTCTAAAATACAATTGGGCAACTTTATGACGTCTATGTCGAAGCGTTCATACTTGTTGAGAGTGCAGGGAACTCGGAGGTGACCATAAAATATAGCTGTATTTGATGGGCAGCAAATATCTAGTTCCTATAAGCACCGAAGCACTACGGAAGCTGACACAGCGTCAAAATGAAAAATGACGCAGGTGACCCAGATAACGATATCTGATGGATGAATGTTAAATGCTAATCAATCCATACGCAAAGTTGAATCTGAACTGTTTGACGTCGATCAAAAGAAAGCGATCAAATCTACTGACCCTAAAGAGTCTCTTTGCGAGTTCAAAGTTCTTTAAGAACCAGGCATTTGGCCAGTAAAGTCTGGAATATAAGACAAGGAAAGACTCGATTTTTTAAATCAAGAAATTCGTTCAAATGTTTCCCTCTCAAGACACCTGTCTTAACTGCGGTCGCTGTCTGACGCACTGACCTTCCAGTTCGATCGACTGATTTGCTGACTTTAACAGACGCACACACGCACACGCCTAGACAGTTACAGCAGCTCACATCATACGCGACGCAGTGCGTACGAATAGAATCAAAAACTTGGAATTCGCCCAGGATTACTTATCAATGCCGTCTCACTCCGAGTCTCTGTTAGGCGAGACTTAACACTCTCAGCATGTGTCCTGGGGTGCCCGCTGTGTCTGCTGCCTAGGACAATCACGCATGCTTCTGTATAGACGCGTATATACACTCTGGCGTCTTGCATCTCCTGCTAATTGATATCTGGCCTGCGGATTATGACCCTCATGTTGCACTTATTACATTATTCGTTGAACTGTTACAACCCTGTGCCCGCGTCAAGTAGACAGCACCGGAACCCATCGAATAATAAAATCTGCACTAGGAATTGCAGGAATCTTGATTTAACTTTATAGAATAACGATCCTATGTCAGTGAACAACATATCAAAATCAAACACGTCAGAGGGAATGAAGAACGAAAACCCTTGGCGTTTTGAGTACTGGACGAAAAGCGATTAAAATAGTTAATCTGGAATCGAATAGGGCTCCACATCGAAATCCAGATCAGAGGAGCACAACTAACCAACCAGAACCTACCTACAAGTTACTCGCAGCAGTGCAGGCGTCTGTAGGCCATTCACCTCTTTGGTAAAGCATGCACGCAGTCTGATTAACATTGACGCAGGCACTATACATTGTAACCTTAGGATTGACTGCATCCAAATCATCGCTGCGCGGCTACACCTACCGTCACAACCCGACACTAATTAGTTACCTATTAATGGTCTATCGACCGCTTCCTGTTCTATCAGTAATGGGGTTTTCGATTCCCGCCAGCTCTTGCGAACGACTGAACTCAACGTTTTAATGACTGATTGGCAGGCCACGGGAATGCGGACCCCAGTACTGTGGGCGGTCTTACACTAAGTTTCAGGGAGGTTAAGGTTAGGCCTACTGTTAGGGTGAGGGCCAAGGTTATCAGGGTTAGTTTCGGTGTCAATATTGGGGTTTAAAGGGTTAGGATTAGGGAAAAGTTAGGCCACGGGAATAGTTGCCTCTAGCATTTAGTACAAGGCCGTCGGTAATGCGGGTTTCTCCACTCCCATGGTAAACAGACTTACTAAGATATTTAGGCGAGAAACTTTTCAACGTAGGCATATAACTGTAGAAAATTATTAGCATGCATTTCCCACACTTTCTCAACCTTCTAAAAGGAAATCGGTAGCTGATGCACGGGATTTGTTCGACGGACTTTTCGGATTCCTAGTCGAATCTATCAATATAAATAAAGCATGGTTTATTTAGAGAATCTGGTTTTATGTTACTGCCAGTCTTCTGATTTATGGGCATTCTCAAGGCACAACGTTTATTGTGGAGGTTGCAACTGTTAATTTAATAACCTGTCTAGATGAAACTTCGTTTTTTTATATTCGAGCCAGCATCCACAATGTTCTCATTCAGCATGCCAGTGCCTTACTTACCATGCTCTCTGGATTCTTTACCGCGTGTCATTCATTTCTCACGGCATTTCGAACACTGGAAATGCCTGGGAATAAATGATTCGTATGTTGGCTTACTCCTCACCAGAAAATTATAGCTATTTTGGGTGTCAAGCGTTTAAGTTCGCTGGAACCTGGCGGCGTGGAGTGGTTACCATAGGTTACACGCTTCTTTTGCGCTAGTCATTGTTCCTCGTTACTGCAGCGTGTTCGGACACCCGTTTCTACAATGATCATTCCGGTAAGGTCCCTACCTCAGGTGTTATTTAAATGCGGATGAAGCCTCTGGAGACATTCTCGTCACACTTGACCACTAGACCAAATTAGGCTTTCAGACAGTTGGGCCTTTTTTCTGATTGTTGTGTATGCCAGTTACAAATTTAAGCGACCAACCGTGCGCTCTTGATCTCCGTGAACGGAAGCGTGGGAGACAATTCAACTTTAGTTTTGTTTTACTATTCTTTAAACGGCAATTTTATTGCATCGATTACTAGGGTTTGGAGAATATATCTGGAAACAGTTCTAAAGCTTAACCCCTTAAGCTCCCCCAAGCAATGTTGTAGGGAGCTGAACGCGTTACACGAGTCTTCTCCAATTCCAGCTATCAACTTCCTTACGTTTAATTTACTTACATTGGTTCTGTGCGTTTATGGTAGAGTTTTTCGAGAGAGTACCACTCGACGTCAAAAATTTACGTCTCCTGCGGTAAGGAAAAGGAGGACGTTACGGGTGAAAATAAGTTTTGTGAAGACGGAAAAGCTAAATGAGTGTAAGACCTGTAGCTAGTGATCGTAATCATTATATATTCCTCACTGGTTATAGAAACATGGATTTGACCAAATTTGTACAGCTAGCTGATATAGCATTTCTGTCACTAGGAATACTTGAGAGTAAAAATACGTCTGGGACGTCTAAATAGTCGAAAATAGCTACCAGAAAAATGCCTGCGCCTGTAATATTTTTCATTACACCACATGAATTTCGACCCAATATAAAACGCCATCAATAATGGTAAATAAGGATAAAATAGCTTTTTTCCGGATTATTAGCGGTCAGCAGTCATGTGTGCTTAATCCGGGCGGTTATATGTCCACTTATAAACTGCCTTTACTGCAGTATTTTCCTGTTATAACCCTTCACGACTGGCACCCCATCTGCGGTGACGCATACTTGACAACACTGAACTAGAACCTGGATTTTATTGTCGGAATTTACGTTTTCAGCGAGCAAACCGTGACGCAAAAGTAACTTACTGGCAATGTAGAATGCAACAATTGCGTGGATTTGTCGTCAAAAGCAAGTAGGAAGAGAGTAGATAGGCAAAAACCCGCTGTTCCAATCCCCAACGCTAGGAGGAGTGTGATGCTCCTCGTATACGTCTATTTTAGAGCAAAAAGTTGCTGCAGTTTGGTTTTGCATAAGTTTGTCTTGTTCAGAAGTGCCGCTCAGTAAACTGTGTTTCCATCCTCAATAACTTTGCCTTCCTGTTCTGAATGGAAAGAAAAGAAACGTGCTTATTAAGAATTTATCGTGACGAAGGTTTTAATCGTATCGTTAAATATCAAGCAGCATGATGTAGTTTATCCGTAGAAAGTAATTAAATCTCCCTAAAGTATGAAGAAGACGTCCGAGTGCAGCTTGATGAAATTACAAGCAGGTTTCACTCATTAGTATTAGAATGTAATCGATAAATTTTTTTATTTGTGTTCGATAGGTGTTTACCACTGGGCGCCAAAGCGTTCGATAGAGGAGGTTATCCTGCCAAATAACCTTTATATTCCCAGCACCATCAGGAAGGAGACAGCACGAACCTATATGCGGAACCACATTCTCGTTTGCTTGCTTGCAGCTCCGTCCGCACCCCTTCTCGGTTTGCGCTCCTTCGTGCTGCCCCTGCGTGCTAGTAACATTGAAAATCGCCAAATCCGCCCAATCGTTTTTCTCGGAGACCTTGAATTTCTGCGCCAGGAATGGGAGGAGATTTCAGACTTCCCCAAGATCTTCATCTTGCCAGGATCCCCACTCTCCCGAAAAGACCTCTGGCGCGCACGCATTCATGTCTGCTCTGTCTGTGTGGTTTTGGGGATCAGTGACACAGTGTGTGCCGATGATCCCTACCTGGTTGACAAGGAGGTCATCCTCTGTGCTCTGAACATTCGCGCCCTCAAAATACCACATGGGATGCAGGAGTTAGTTTCAAATGAGGGGACTGTGCGTTGCAGTGGTGCTGAAATACCTCTTCTCACAGCCCTGACTATGGATTCAAACATTCATTTCCTCGACCCAGAGGACTTCGAAACGGGAAAGTCGGACGTAAATGTCTACCTCACCATACCATTTGCCCGTGGCTTGGCCTTTTCTGCTTCGGTCTTGGATGCTTTAGTGAGTACTGCATATTTTGATCGGAGAGCCATGACGCTGATAAGATACCTGGTCACCGGCGGGACAACACCTGTACTAGAACAATGGGCAAGCTATGGGGGTGAGTTCTGTGAGAACATGGACATCCAGGAGGACGCATCTGGGAAATTAGAGAGTGACTTGGCAAAACGGTTTATTGAGACACTGAGTCAGAATAATTATAAGCGTCCACAGATCAGCCAAATGAGCTTCCAGGACCCACGACTAGCTAGTATTCGATCTACAAATGGAAGTTCCAAACTGCGATTTGGAAACCTCTTCTGTCAGGCCATTACGCGCTACGGAATCCTCTGTCTTGGCCTGTTTAGACTAAGTCCGTCGGGAAAGATTATGGTCAATACTCGGACAGACCCTTCCTGGTCGCAATTCAGCCGAGACGTCTACGACGTTCAAGGTCCGCTCAGATTACCGCGCAGATCAAATATCCGTCCACCGCAGGACATATCGCAAGTTAGGTATCTATCAAAAACGCGCGATTTGAGGAGTCAGGCTCAACTACCATCTTGTGCAGCTAATCTCCAGGTCCCGCCGCCAGCGTTATCAAAAGATGATGACCATCATGATTCCTCTGTTAGCCTTAAGGTAATATCCCAGCAAAACTACTCAGCTGCAAACAGCCGCTATGTGATTACAAGTCCACCCAATGACTTCCCCGTTTACGACACGGACCTTGTGTTCTGTCTTACGCCGCACTTATGAGAAAGAGTTTAACTAGGACCTTCTTATTCCCCGTCGACCCTATACACAGCTCCTGCACTTAAAACATTTTACCCCTCCTGTAATTTTTTATTCATGCCCAGAGTTCGCCCCTGTTTCCTCCTACCCCCCCCCCCAGTCTACTCCCAGTGAGCTTTTATCAGAAGTTACTTCTGATTTATGCGCAGCGCTTTGATTTGCAGCATTCTAATCTTCAGATTTAGGTACCCAGTTTGCCATCTGTGAAGTCTACCAAAACGTTGTGAAAGCTTGGCTTCATTTATGTATGAGTATAAATGCATTTTAATTTATTATTATTATAATTTAACACACATTTTTACATAACCATGTAGCAGTGAGTTTGTGAGACAGGGTTCTCGAGAGAGAGTTCAAAGAACTGTATCAAGGGTTTCCACTAGTAAAATTTTCGACAGATCTTAGGCAAGGAAACTCAACTAGACGAGAGATTTTGGCATGATTGCCGATGTGTAACAAACAAAATTTTCAGTTACGGAATGAAGAAAATCAAAAAATATGTGTTCAACACATTAGCAGCGACATTTGTAAAACGTTCCGATCAAATGCAAGTGCAGGCATTGCGATCCCGTGTGGTTTCCAGCCAGTCATATCCCTGGCAGGTTAAGAGGTAATTAAAAACTTGTCAGTTTCAATCACTGAAATAATCAGACTACCCGTGGTTTGTAACTACTGTGTGGGTCCACTCTCCATATACTACAATTGGAAGTCTGGAAGCAGAAGAGACGATTGCCGTGACAAGGGCTTTGCTCTCTTGACATAGGGGGAGTGGTAGTATATGGGGGTAGGGTTAGTAACAGTCAATGCGAGGGAGAGGGTGATAGCATTGACTATTATTACTCCACCCCACCATTTTCCTACACCCCGCCTGTATTTTAAGACGAAGTTTAAATGATTCCTGTAATCACTGACATGTTTTTACTTTTACGCCGTTCTCATATATATAGTGGTCTGAAAAGAATTTATCGAAAGTAAACGTATGACCGTCATTTGGTCTTCTAAACTGCTTGTTACCATTAGTCAGTAGTAATAACTACCCTATATGTGATACTTATGAATTTATTGGCCATCACGATCAACGTACCTCAGTCTCTTTTTCGTTTTGTACGGGCGTTGGGAGGAGTGCACTTGATAGATTATGAAAAAAGCAAGATTTTGGGGAAAAGTACAACTAGTGTGAAGAGTGGAGAACTCGAATGACCCTTGAAGACAGCAAGAATCCTGGTAAATAGCTGCGCGGCCGATCGGAGGACCTAATCCAAAAGAACCGACCTAGAGGGAGGAGGCTCTATTAAAAGTGTATTAACAAAAGGCAGCAGATAGTTCGACCATCGTTGCCAAAGATGTCCACCATAGGTCTCAGAGCAAAGTGGGCTCACGGACGGTGACTTGCGCGAGAATTGGTTTATAGTGATCGTATACTTATGCCCCATTTAGCGCAATCTCTACTCCGTCGCGCATCTGAATTCAGTGTCAAGACGGAGTGGAATAGACGGGAGGTTGGACCGGACGCAGGTAGCTGACGCGGCGGGAACCCGCACCCAGGCATGACATCACACCACCTGGTCCGCGCACGAAGAGCTGGGATATCCCACAACAATAAAAAGGAGGCTTTTGATATAGTGCCACATTAAAAGGAAAGTCGTTGCAGCCTGTTTCTGCGTTCTGAGAGGGGGACCGAGTGATCTTGTGGCAGTCCGCGCATCCTCGACACGCTGTTTGTTGATCTGCTTTCCTGGCCGCTCCACGCTCCCTGGCGGTTCGCTGCTGGGACCGTGTAAGGCTTGTCATTAGTCCGCGAGATCTCGGGGCCAACCAACGCTGCCCATCCTCTGATTGGTTGACGGAAGCTAACTGGGAGAGAGTGAAAACATACAAACGCGCTGGGGGCTAATGACCTCAACGAGGTACACAGACTAAAAACTTGCCAGGAAAGACAGCTTGCGGCAACTGCTTGCAGAGCCTCTTGTACGGTCTTACACATCAGTAAAGTTGTCCAACTTAATACGTCTTCTCTGAATTCTGACTTGGAAGTCTTTCTGTTGTCGACAACACCGCCTATCGAGAATCTCTTCATTTGGCCGCCACGAATTTTACGTTATCGTGATAGAATTGAGCGCGTCGGATTGTTTATAGTGAAGAATATGCTCTGGTAGTCGGCATAATTCTGCTTTCCCTCTCCCCTACATCAGTTCACTATCCAAGTGGCTCACTTTTCGAATGCAAAGATTGGGCGCAGTGTCTGACACAACTAGAGAGGCCATCTGCACATGCTGTAAGCGCGCGCTGGTCCACCACACAACACAGCATGACTTCACACAAAAGGAGGCAATTTTCTCCGTCCTTGCTTGTGTGAAATTGCTATCGGGGCTCGATAGCGAAGAAGGCATTGCAGTCCGGCACTCAGTACACTATTTGGCCACTCCACACAAGCACAAGCGGAACTGTCTGTAAGAGGCGATATGGATTGTCAGCTGGCAGTCTACGACTATTAGCACATCGTTAGACTCTTAACTCCATTAGATAGTTTGTAGAGAGAAATATACTCTGAGACCGTCGACTTCACCTTCTCTGCCCTCTCCTGTGCGCCAGTTGATATTCCAGGTCGGCCAACCAGCCGATGTAACGATCGGGTTCACTGGCCGATGGAGTTAAAAGTATCCCGTCTGTGCGTGTCACACACACACACGACAGCTCGACCATCGATTTCGATGATGTCCACCGTGTGCCCCGCAGCAGGTGGGAGCAGGGACGGTGACTTGCGCAGGAGTTTAAAGTGCCAGTAGACTTTCGCTGCATCTACCTACACTCTCTCCTCCTCCCCCGTCTGAGCCCGGTGTCAAGACAGAATCAAGAAGACCGGAGACGAGGGAGGCCGCAGGTGGATGGCTCGGACGGATCCTCACCTTGGCGTTCCAGTCCGTATCCCCTGACCCACACAACAAATGACCACGATTTCAACCAACACAACGGACATTTGGAGGCTGGCACGACCGAAGCCGCACCTAGGCGTGCCGCCGACGCCTGGCTCGGATCCCACACTGTGGTGGAAGTGCCATAAAGGCCACATTAAAAAGGAGCCATTGCAGCTTGACTCTCAGACTACCACCGGCCAAGGAGGAGGTCCAAGTTACCCCGTCAGTTGGCAACCATCCAAACCACGGCTTTTAGCGCACAGTGATAGCTTCAAGCGCGTCAGTTTGATTATAGCGCTGAGTCGTCGACCTCACTCTCCCTTCCCACTCCAACACCCCAGCCGCTGTCCGAGCCGGTCAGCAGACTGGAGTGGGAAATGGGCGCGGTGGCTGGCACGGTCGACTGACCATGCCTGCCCGCGCCACAGCACGACCTTGCCCCCCATACACACACAAACACCAGGATTTCACGCAACGGGGGTTGATCGGCGTGTCTTTCACTTGCATGAGAGGGCCGTGGAAGGTGCTGTTTCAGCCCGTCCCCAACCCACCAGTCCGCCACTCCACACAGCACACACGCACAACGCGACGAACTGCGTGAACCGAGAGCGGGCGTCGATCAGCAACATTCCTATTCACGACGCTTGCGGGGAAGGTGGAAGTTGGGTGCATGCGGTGGGTGAGTGTTGATGTATGGAGGTGATGGTGGAGGAAGGTAGGGAGTGTGTGAATGTGTGGTGTAACCCGGCGGTTGTCTACCGCAGGTCGTCGTGGATGCGAACGTGGCCGGGTAGGCCCATGCGATGCCTGAAGGTGCGAGGACAGTGTGGGCAGTTGATTCGAGCTTGGTGGATATAGGTTGGTGCCCCAGGCACTGGTTCTCCAGTCTCTGTGCGATGGATTCTCAAGTGATCGACCAGGCCGAACACACACACACACAGCCTGTACCCCCACAAGGCAAACAAGGATGACACACAAAGGAGATGCCGGAACTTATATGCATTAGAGTAGCAGTGGGGTCACTCGGACCAGGAATCAAAAAACATCTTTCCCACTTGCGTGAGAGGTGCCAATTCCACGCTTATAGTAGGTCATGAGATGGGTGTTCGTGTGTAGACCATATGCTCGCGAGGAGGTATGTGGTAATGGAGTTTGGCCATCGTTTTTAACCACAGGTTTTTAGGGATTCGCATGTGCCCGAGCAGGCCGTTGCGGTAACTTCATGTGTGTAGGCAATTTTCATTTGCGAAGTGAATGAGATGGGTGTATGTTGCTGTTCTAGGCACTGGCTTACCAGCCCTTATGTGCTAGCAAGTAGTAACAAACAAGAATTCACGCCTTAGCTTCAAAGATCATTAAGAGGTTATTGATATTCTTTAGCTGAAGCCTTGTCGAATACCGCAGTCGATGATGAATCACAAAGAACAAAAAATATGTGTGGTGTGTCTTGCAGCAGCAGATATCTTGAGTAGCAGGACTGCCGTATTCATAAGAGAGCAATTTTACTGCAGCATGTTCAGTACCGCAATCCTTGTGACCGTCTCGACAGGATAAATGGGCGAGAAGGAGCGGGAGGTGAACATAAACGAAACTGTTGAAATTTTGCCACTATTAGGATTAAGGATATGTGTGAATTCTCGTTTTATGAAAATTAGAAACTAGCAATTTAAGATGATCATTTTCGTGAGGTCATGATACCCGAGAACTCGGTGTACACAATCTAATATTCAGCTGCCTAAAGTCTGTCAGGCTTTTAATTCCCTTTAGAATTTTCAGTGTGAGCTTGGAGTAAATTATCGGAGTTAAACCTTTTTAATTTTAATAAGAAGCGTGATATGAGAATTTGGACTGAACTGCAATAGCCGCGGCGAAAGAACTACGAAATACTCAGTTTGGCAACAGGCAGTCGCTGGCGTGCATATATGCCCTACTCATGACGGTCGAGGTGAGTTAGATGCCAGGGTTGGCATGGCGTGAGTCTCCGTCTTACGCGTGCCGCACACGTGTGCAGCACCACCCAAGGTCACGCTCAGGCTTAATTCGATTGGGCTA